CATTTCGGTCGTTGATGCAGGGTATGGAGATAATCGTTACTCCATGCTTTTCAGAAAGTTTCGGACAATTTTTGGATCAGTTGCCAGCGAGATAATCGATTGTCTCTTACATTTAATACGCTTGATTCAGGCGAGATTACAAGTGGTGCGCCGATTAAAAAATGACCGGGTGTTAACGCGTTGTAATCGTCAAGACTATCGGAAACAGTTCCAATCGGTCGCGAATTCAGACACGCTTCGACGCGACATAATAGTGTGGTCATTTCCTCGAATGTTAAAGTGTGTTCGCCGATGGTACGCTTTAAATGGTATTTCATACTTTTAACCGCGGCTTCCCACAGGCCGCCGAAATTGGGAGCGTTTGGGGGCAAAAAATGCCACTCTATTTCGTCGTTTATTAGTCGATGGTGAAGATCCGCAGAATTGATGGCTGACCGAAAGGACATGCTTAGTTCGCGGTTCGCTCCTTTGAACGTGGTACCGTTATCCGAATACATTGACCGAGGAAGTCCACGGCGAGAGACAAATCGGTGATACGCTGCTATAAACGCTGACTAATTATATGTGCGTTGCCTTAACGGTTAGACAGATAAAAATAGCTATGTACGCCTTATGGGATTTTTGTCCACGGCCGGACTTATTGTTAGTTTTAATTTGGATCGGACCTGCATAATTAACACCTGTATGAATAAAAGGTCGTTCCACCCTTGTAACTCGCGGTGCAGGTAAATCGCCCATGAGCTCGGAAGGAACGGCGGCTCTCTCGTGCGTGCACGCGACACATTTATAAAGGACGTTTCTAATGGTGGCTCGTGCTCGGACAATCCAAAACTCGTTACGTAAGTAAGCGAGCGTGAGATTGGGTCCCGCGTGTAATAATTTTCGGTGGGTTTCTTCGATTAATATGGTAAGGAGTGGGTGTGATCGAAGGATTATAGGTGTTTTTGCTTTTTCAGGAAGTTGGGAATTGGCTAACCGCCCTTTAGTTCGCATCAACCCTTCCTCATCCAGATATGGTGCTAGAGAAAGGAGAGAACTAGATTTAGGGAGAGGTCTGGAAGCTTGTAGAGCTCTTACTTCCTCCGGGAATGCGTCGGATTGGATCCTGCTCAACCAAAATTTTTTGGCGTTTCGGATCGAGGCAGGACTTAAAATCATCGACACTGCGGGAGCTGTTACAGTTTTGGTAGGTATTCCTTTATCCTTTTGTTTTATTCGAATACGGAGGACTTGGATGAAATGGATCATGTATGCGGTAATCCGCAAGAGTTTCGACCACGAAGAGTAGCGCGTTACCAAATCCCACTGTTCGACACCGGTGATCAAAAGGGACACAGACGAATTCCTTTCTTCGAGCGAGGTCTCATGAAACGAGGAGTTAGCTACGGGATGCCAAGGTGTTTGCTGTTGCAACCATTGGGGACCGAACCACCATAATCGATGCTGCTTCAATTGTTTAACGGGCATCCCCCGGGAAGCGCAATCGGCGGGATTGTCTTGTGTTGGTACATGATGCCATTGCACTTGAGGATTTAGCTCGAGAATTTTCGCTACGCGATTCGCGACGAACATCTTCCAACGGGTGGGCGGTTTACTCAGCCAGGCTAACGTGACACTGGAGTCTGTTCAACAATGAGCCTCAATCATTTCTTGATGTAACGCGGTCCGTACGAATCGTAAAAGGCGAGCAAGGAGCAGCGCAGCGCATAATTCCAGTCGAGGTACGCTGACAGTCTTGACTGAGGCCACTCGTGTTTTCGATACGAGGAGAGAGGTGTGTATGGAGCCATCACACAGCACGCTACGCATGTAAATAGCGACGGCGTAAGCTTTCGTGGAAGCGTCGGAAAATCCGTGGAGGCTTGTGCGTCGGATTGGATCCTGCTCAACCAAAATTTTTTGGCGTTTCGGATCGAGGCAGGACTTAAAATCATCGACACTGCGGGAGCTGTTACAGTTTTGGTAGGTATTCCTTTATCCTTTTGTTTTATTCGAATACGGAGGACTTGGATGAAATGGATCATGTATGCGGTAATCCGCAAGAGTTTCGACCACGAAGAGTAGCGCGTTACCAAATCCCACTGTTCGACACCGGTGATCAAAAGGGACACAGACGAATTCCTTTCTTCGAGCGAGGTCTCATGAAACGAGGAGTTAGCTACGGGATGCCAAGGTGTTTGCTGTTGCAACCATTGGGGACCGAACCACCATAATCGATGCTGCTTCAATTGTTTAACGGGCATCCCCCGGGAAGCGCAATCGGCGGAATTGTCTTGTGTTGGTACATGATGCCATTGCACTTGAGGATTTAGCTCGAGAATTTTCGCTACGCGATTCGCGACGAACATCTTCCAACGGGTGGGCGGTTTACTCAGCCAGGCTAACGTGACACTGGAGTCTGTTCAACAATGAGCCTCAATCATTTCTTGATGTAACGCGGTCCGTACGAATCGTAAAAGGCGAGCAAGGAGCAGCGCAGCGCATAATTCCAGTCGAGGTACGCTGACAGTCTTGACTGAGGCCACTCGTGTTTTCGATACGAGGAGAGAGGTGTGTATGGAGCCATCACACAGCACGCTACGCATGTAAATAGCGACGGCGTAAGCTTTCGTGGAAGCGTCGGAAAATCCGTGGAGGCTTGTGGATTGAATAACTCGCGGTGCGAGTTTTCGTGGGATGGACAGATGCTCCAGGTCGGGCAGTTGTTCATAGAACGTCTGCCACTCCGTGAGGAGGGTTGCTGGAAGAACATCATCCCAATCGCAGCGGCTAGACCACAATGTCTGCATATATACTTTAGCGACGATGAGAATAGGCACGATCCAACCGATGGGATCGAAAAGTTTTGCAATGGTTGAAAGGATCACCCTTTTAGTTCGAGGCAATTCGGTCGGTATGTTCAATTTAAAATTAAACGTGTCTAACGCTGGATTCCAACTAATACCAAGCACTGAGATTATTTCGTTGGTTTGTAAAGATTTACCGGTAGCAAGGCCGTGGTTTCTCGGATGAATGTCGGACAAGAGCGTGGAGTCATTACTCGCCCATTTTCGTAAGGAGAAGCCTCCTTTTCCTAAGAGCTCGATGGTTTGATCTCTTAGGTGACGAACGGAATCGTGACTATCGCCTCCGAACAGGAAATCGTCTATGTAAACTTACTCCCGAAGAACGGAAATAGCCGCTGGAAACTGAGAGCCTTCGTCCTCGACTAACTGCTGTAAGACGCGAAGGGCTAGAAATGGGGCCGGAGCAGTACCGTATGTGACCGTGAGGAGATGATACTCTTCAGCGGGTTGTAGAGGAGAGTCACGCCACAGAATTTTTTGGTAGTCGAGGTCTCGAGGATCTACAAGAATTTGGCGGTACATTTTCTCCACGTCTGCGGTGTACACATATTGAAATTGACGCCACCATAATAAGATGGCAACAAGATCTTGTTGGAGTTTTGGCCCAGTTAGAAGAAGATCGTTTAAGGATATTCCATTCGACATTCAACGCGAAGCGTTGAAGACTACGCGTAAGCGGGTGGTTGAGCTGCTCTCACGGACAACGGCGTGGTGCGGTACATAATATCCCTGATTTGAGGGAGAAGGAGAAAGAGCAACTCGTTTTATGTGACCCAGAGAAACATACTCGAAAAGAAATTCATGATACATAAGAGAGGTTGCGGAATCGTGGCTTAAACGTTTTTCAAGTGCACGGAGACTTTGGAATGCTGCTGATCGCGATTCCCCTAAACGAGGTGGAGGTTCGGTTTTAAAGGGTAATCGAACAATGTAACGTCCATTTGGTGCGCGGCAATGCGTTAATTTGAAATGGGATTCGCATTTTTGATCTTCAGGTGTCAGTAGAGCCGGAGAAGAGAGGTCCTCGATTTCCCAGAATCGGCGGAGATCCTGGTCGAGGTTTTCCAGAACGGAAAGGTGGTGGATGCCGACGGAGGAGGGCGTGGAGGTGCTGAAAGGACCGGAGAGGATCCATCCCAGAGTGGTGTTTTGAGCAACGGGGAGTATAGGCGGAACCCTTTCTTAAACCTGGCAATAAGAGCTGCCCGTACAAGTCGGCTCCAATGATAACGTCGATTGGATCCGAGCTCATGGGTTCCTGGTCCGCTAATTTCAAACCTGCAAGGTGAGACCAATTAGTCACTTCCCCTTTTTGGGAGGGAACGTACCTGGTTAAAGAAGGCATAATAATTGCAGTCGTAAAGTATGCAGGTTCGTTTGAGACGGCTGGCGATACTGTTATTTCGGCGACATAGTTGGTGTACGATTTTTCCGCCAATTCCGGTAATTTGATTCGGTTGCTTGGTCCGGTGCAGGCGCAGCGATTGAGCTAAATGCTCTGTTACGAGGGTGCCAACGGAACCTTGGTCCACCAACGCACGGATGAGGAGGCAACGACCCTGGTTCGAATGTATTAGTACGCGAGCTGTGGAGAGCAGAATACTACAGTTAGTAGGTGTATCAGACGCAATATTCGCACTTATCTCTGTTCCGGGATCGGGATCAGTTGAACCTTTTCCTGAGGCAGACGGCGCGGTATCCGGTTTGGTTGGAAAATGTAACAGTGAGTTATGCCGTTGATGACACTCTTTGCACGAACGAGGACTATTACATTGCGGAGCGGAATGTTTGGTTGAAAAGCAATTCACGCAACGTTTATGCTGTTTTATAAAATTGAAACGCTCGGCAATCGATTTGGAAAGAAATGCTGTGCATTGATAAATCAAATGATTTTGTTGGCAAACCGGACACGTAATTTTCATCGAGGTTGTAGAATGAGCTATGATCGCCTTCTGCTTATAAGGTTTAATTTTTTCTGCTTCGATTGGTTTTTCGCGTTTGATAGTAGGTAGCGCTTCTAGTGCGCGAATTCGTTTCTTGACGAATATATCGAACTCGTTATAGGTAGGAAATTCGGTTGAATCGCTGAGTTGAAATTCCCAGGCTTTTCGCGAGGCTCGATCTAACTTTTGGACCCCCAGGAAGACGAGCATATCATTCCACGTGTCTACCGGTCGATTTAAATTTCGCAGCATTTGAATCGACATGTTCATTTTATCGCGTAACGACCTTAGTTCGTGCGGCGTTTCCGACGAGACAGACGGTAACGAAAACAAAGTGTTTAAATGAGTTGAAATTAACCGGTATTTATTTTCGTACCGCGATGTTATTGTCTTCCACGCGATGTCAAAATTGTTTTCGGTTACAGGTAGATGCGCTACGGCCCGACTCGCTTCGCCTGTTAGCGAGGAATACAAAAAATGAAGACGCTCCACGTTAGACAAAGAGTTGTTATTTATTACCATGGCCGTGAAGCGGTCGCGGAAACTCTCCCACTCTTCAAATGCTCCTTCGAAGGTCGGCAATTGTATTCTCGGGAGGTGAACCGTTGGCTGTGACGTCATCGTGTTCGAAGAATTCCCGTTGTTCGATGAGGATTCAGGTGGAGGTGCAGCCTTGGCGAGGACTTCTGCCATCGAATCAAGGGTCTCCTGGTAGCGTTCTTCGGCCTTCTCGAACTGATTTTCGGCGAAATACGGAATGCTGGCTCTTGATTTCGGGTCGGTGCAAGCTGCGATTTTGGCATCTAGATCTTGGCTTAATTGATATGCCTCCTTTAGCAACGCCATGCGGTTTTGTGTAGTGGCTGCAGTCTTCTTGGCCTGCCCGAGCTTTTTAAAATTGGAGAGCGCGCGGTCGATGGTGCCCAACGTTTGGCTTTGTTTTTGGATTAATTCCTCCAAGTTGTTCATGGCTATTAATATTAATAGTTATTTTCCTCGATTCCAGGATCCGGCTCGAAGGACCAAATGTTTCGGATGGTGTGGTGATTCGGTGAATATGGGGACACCAGTCCGTAGGAAATCACTGGTTTACTTTAGCGTGGGATAGTCACTGGATTTCGAGGAGGAAAATCGGCACTGTTCTTTGAATGTTGTATTTCCAATTTAATACAACTAAACAACTAGTTAACGTTACAATAACAATAAAATACAAATAAAGAACAGAAATACACGAAACGGAATTGGTTATTGATCGCCACGAACACTTTAGAACTGAGCGAATTTGAATTGATGCGGTACGTTTGAAAGATCGCAACGAACAGGTGTACTCGGTGACCGTTCGGGCGCTCGGAAAGACTTTTTCGGCGCGCCAATCGCGAACCGACGGTTTACGATTTGGGTATACATACCGACCGAGGCGCCAACTTGAGCCCGTCGTCGGTATTACTCGAGATTCGTACAATATTTTATAATTGTATCGTTGGTAGCTAAAAATAATAACGAATAATAACAAAATATGAATAATAATAAATATGAAATAATAATACTAAAAAAAATTAAACATTGTAAATATAAAAATTGGATGTATATTAAGCCCCATCATTAATGCTGGTTGCGTGTAGCCACGGCACTGACTTGGCGAGGAGAGCGAGCCATGGCCGCCTGGCGGTCCATACACCGCGCACGTGCTCCTGGCAGATATTTTTTCGATTTTCTGGAATTGCATACAGCTACAACATTAACGCCGCATAGTTTCCTCATCAGAAATGTCTATAGAATTCGATACTGTAAACTTTTTCTAAAAATGCAAAAATAATATATAGGAAATACGTGCAATGGCCGTTTTTTAAACTTTCATCAATATTTACAGTTATTTAGAATTATGCAATATAACAACTATATATACAAATTTATTCGAGACACTCTCCTCTATCTTTTAAAATTAATTTGAATGTCCTAGTTTTTTTAGTTTCCTCGCAATATCGCATTTTCTACCCAAAACTCGTGTTTTTACAAAAGCTCGTGTTTTTCAGAAACTGAGGGTGATAGAGCAATTCGGTTTTCGGATTCTTCTTCAGGATGAGAAACTCTACAAGGATCACCCAATGGGTATTAGAAAACAAAAGTGTTGAACAGTGTTATCTGCATAAGGCTACACCTACTGAATTAACACCCTATCTGTACAATGTTAACACAAACTGGCAACAATTTAAAGAAATCTTGGAAGAAAAAATAAACTGCAATATACCTCTGAAGACCCCCGAACAAATTGAATCAGCAGTAATATATCTTACAAACTTAATTCAGAATGCATGTGGGACAGCTACTCAACAAATAAAAACTGAAAGGAAATTCTATTCTTATCCTCAGTATATAATAGAAAAAAGACAACTGAAACGGAAGTTGAAATACATCTGGCAGAAACAAAAAACTCCACTAAACAGAAAGAAATTAAATTCAATCACCAAAGAGGTAAAGTCATTAATTCAAAACTATTGCAATGAAGAGTTCTACGCCTACATTTCTAATATCTCCCTTAACGAAGATACAGGATATGCGTTATGGAAAGCTACTAAAATACTAAAAAGACCAATCATTTTTTCTCCTCCTATAAGAAAAACCGATGGCAGTTGGGCAAGAAATAACCTTAAAAAGACCTTCACTTTTGCTGATCATCTACAGGACACATTTAACAGTACGATCGCTTCTGCAACCAACTTGAGTACAGCTTCACCCATTGTTACCGGGGTGATCACTCTCAAAGCCTCCCTAAAACCACTTTCAATGAAGTTAAAAAACGAATTGCAGAATTTCGCATAAAGAAAACTCCTGGGTTTGATCTAATCAACGGAAAAATTATTAAAGAACTCCCACCAAAAACGGTAAGATTGATTACCATCATCTTCAATGCTGTGCTAAGAATTAGGTATTTTCCTACCATCTGGAAAAGGGCTCAAATTATCATGATACCTAAACCTAATAAGAATCTCCATCTACCTTCATCGTACACACCGATTTCATTGCTTCTCATATTGTCAAAACTATTAGAAAAAATAATTTTAATTAGATTAAAAGAGATAATTACGGAAAAAACTTAATTCCTCCGCATCAATTTGGATTTAGAAATAAGTATGCCACAATTGAACAAATCCATAGGCTAATAAACAAAATTACTCTCGCCCTCGAGCAAAAGAAATATTGCACTGCGCTTTTCCTAGATATAGAAAAAGCATTTGACAAGGTGTGGCACGTTGGCCTGTTATACAAAATTAAACAAAGTTTCCCGACTCCGTACTACGAGCTCATCAAGTCATACCTTGAAAATAGAACATTTTTCTTAAAAATTCAAGATTCTTGTTCCGACTTGTATCAAGTTGAGGCAGGGGTTCCACAGGGTAGCACATTAGGGCCCCTACTTTACACGCTATACACTGCTGACGTTTATGTTTCTAGCTGCTATTCTAACCATTCACAAAGATCCTAATATTGCATCTTATATACTTCAGCAACACCTTCTAAAACTTGAATAATGGCTAAGTGAATGGAGAATAAAAGTAAACGCTGATAAATGTAATCATATAACGTTTACCCTCAAGAAAAGCACTTTTCCGTCAGTAACACTAAATAACGATAAAATAAAACAAACCGAAATTGTAAAATACTTAGGTATGCATCTGGATTCAAAATTAACGTGGAAACACCATATAAGAAGCAAAATTGAACATATTCGTATAAAAAGAAGGAATATGTATTGGCTCACTAGCAGATACTCTAAATTAAGTGCAGAAAATAAACTTTTAATTTACAAGTCAATAATAAAACCTATCTGGACTTACGGAATCGAACTATGGGACACAGCAGCCAAAACTCACATAAATAAACTAGACGCCATGCAATCTAACATACTCAGAACAATAATAAACACTCCGTGGTATGTGCGTAACGAAGACATACGCAAAGATCTACAGGTAATCTTCGTAAAAGAAGAAGTGTTAAGACTATCCGAGCGATACAAGTTAAGACTGGAGAGTCATTCCAGCGCACTGGCAAATGGCCTGTATGCCGAGGAATTGCTGAGAAGACTACAAAGAAAGCATCCCAAGGATTTACTGATACAACAAATTACGTCATAATCTTGCTCAGATGCTTTTCAATGGGAAGTGCATCTACGTGTTATCACTCAACTCGTTCGAACAATTTACCGAATGTCTCTATGAGACAAATTGTAATATATAGCGGGGATATAAAAAAAAAAAATTTCCTCATTAGGCCTCGTCTGTGGCTCCTCTATCAGAGCTAGCAGACCGGCCTCGTTCGTGTGGGGAGTCTTGCTCTCTCAAGCCGCCCACATTCCCCAGCATTTCGCCTACCCTACTCTTGCACACAGTCGAGGCCTGCATGCCATTGGTGCCGTTGGTTGCTGCTTGGACAGCGGCCCAGCCTTTACTTGCCTGAGCATTGACGTCATCTGTCCCTCCTTTGTTTTGTAGGGCCTCCCATTTGCACTCCCGTTTAGTCCTCTTCTCAGTGATGCCGTCGGTGTTGTGGAGCCGCCGGACCTTCTCAATGTCGCCGATGCTGAGAAGTTCGACCTGGTGGTGGTGGTCTGTCCACCGGCCTTAAGTTTCCGTGCTTCTCCTTTTTGTAGGGAAATCTAGAGCGGTCACGAATAACTTTCTGCTCTATCATGATATCGCTATCTGATGTATCAGAGCCCGCCGTTGACGCTGGTAACAACATTCTCCTGGTCTGCTTGTCCTTACCTTTTCCGGTGTCGGACCCTCCCTCACTGAACCTCGCTTGCCCGGGAGAAGCTCTACCTGGACGAAAGGGAGACTTCCCTCTCCCCCTAAGGTGGTCCGTGCCAGCGCTTCCGCCGACGTTTGGGCCAAGACACCCTCGCTGCGCACGGTGCCGCTTTTCCCACGCTTATTCTTCTGCAGGGTTGTTTCTGCCTCTGTTGTCTGTTGTGTGCATTATGTCGAACTCCCCGTCTGACTAACAAGGAAAGGCACGCAAGTGTCCCCCTCCGATTTTGATGAAACTTCGTAGGTTTGTTAAGCAGGCAAAAATAAGGGATACGTATTTTTTTTATCGGCTGAGACGCGCGTTTAAGGGGTGAAACGAGCCCTTAAAGTTTCGACCCCTTTTGACTATCTCGAAAACCATACGAGATACATTAAAACTTCTAATAGAAAAGTTGTATGGTTTCTTGCGTATAATAACAGGATGTTAACGAATTTTGCAAAATACAATTTGTTTATAACAAAACAATTTTTCATAACCTTATTTTACAATTCATTCAAATTTGTATAATGACAAAAAGTGTAGAGAATTTTATTACAAATCCATCGGTATATATATATACGATATTGCCTCCTACAATTCCTTATATTTTTATCATAAAGGTTCGGGCGCGCGCCCGCATGATATTAAACCGAATCATATCGGACGATATCACACTACCAGTCAACGTCATTTTTAAGCATAAATAAAAAATAATTATATTTGCGTTATACATAACTGTTAATTTTATTAAATTTGTATTACAAAACAAAACAAAATTGTTAAAGTACATAGGTATTCTATGTATATGTCAATTTTATAGGTAACTAATAGTTTGAATAAGTTAGGGAACATAATCGTGGCAATAATGGTATTCTTCGAAAAAATGTTTCAAACACAACGGTTTCCGACATTAAGTATATGTAATAATTGGTACGTCACGGCATATGTATACATATAGCATAGTGGTTCATTATGTGATGCATAGCAAAATTCTACTGTATTTGGAAAATGAGGTGATTTTGACGATATGAATCCACTTTTATATCATAAAATGAAATTTTCAAATCGTGGTGAAGAAAACTGATTATGAATAAGCCATTGTAGTTTTAGAATGCTATCTCGTGTGTGGAGATTAATGTCATA